TAAGAGTCGGGAATGGCATTAAGTAATACTATGGGAGTGTAATCATCTATGTGTTTATCACCTGCCTGTTTGATATTCTGTATCAGTTTATTAAACACATCCAGGTTCTCATCTATATCCTTAGTCAGGTCAAGCCTGAACCTAAAGAATTTCTCTAGTAAGAACAACTTCCCGGGCAAAGAGGTATCAGTATAGAGACTATCCAATTTCTCCCACAACTCCTTAGCGGACTCAAGAATACCCACTTTCCTAAGCACAGAATCAGACAGATTCAAGTAAATAGTAGAACAAGCAGTTTCGTTCATTTCAATTTGCTTAGCCTTATCTTCTGATTCAAGGAAAATACCAGTGACAGCTCTGAAAACTTTTTGCTGTATTAAAACACATTTTATTTTCTGTTTCCAAATATCAAAATCTGTTTTTCCATTAAATGGAAGCATACCATACTGATTTGCAGCCATGGTATCAACCACAAGGGAACACAAAGCTAAACAGACTGAATTGACAGAAAAATGATCCAACCCGGGCTATAAAGTATTCACTTTAATAACCCCGGGCAGCATGCAACACATAGCAAAAAAATGGACATTTTGGCAATCAAACAATTCCGGGCAGAAAAAATTAAAATTAATTAATTCTACCCCTACCACCCAATAAACCACCCCCTACGCATAACAATTAAATTAAATAACACTTAGTAATTTAATTAATTAGCTAAAACAATCAACCACAAAAGGAGAGGGTTTAGTACGTACCTGGGGGGTTGGCGGCCGGGATTAAATCAACCGGCGGCCCGCGGGGAGGGGGAATCAATTAAATTAAAACCGGAATGCTAAAAATAGGAAATTTACTGAAAACTTACCTTCGCGAAACCCTAGGAGAGCGTTTCGACCTTACCTACCCAAATTTTAAAAAAATTGGGATTTTTCTGGAGGATTGACTGCCGTTGATCGGCGTTGACCGGCGTTGACCGGCGGCGGTTGACCGGCAGTTGACTGCTTCCTGCTCCAGCAGTCCAACACCAACCCAGCGGCCCAGCAGACTGCTCCAGTCCAGGTCCAGCAGCTTCAGCCCATCTCTAGCACAGCAACAAATGCTAGCCCAGGCCCAGAGGCCCAAAGAAGCCCAATAGTCCACAAGCCTAATTCACTTTAGCAACCCATCAAACTAAACAAAGAGCATATCGATGCTCTTCGATACCAGTTCGTCACTCTGCTTTCTACGAAAAAAAAGACTCAAGCCTTCTGCGAACCACAAGTATCGCAGGTAGCGACGGCAAGAGGCGAGCGGCAAGCGACTGTGGTCGGCGATTCTCAGGCGGCAGCTAGAAACTCCGGCGGCGGCTCTGCAATCACCAGGTGGGCGATGGCGGTGCTTCAATTTCCGGCGAGGGCCTCTGCAATCGGCGACTTGAGCTTCTGACAAGCCTGATTTCGACAAGCAGAAGCCACGGTGGAAAGCCAGTGAGTTCGTGCGAACAACCAGGCAGCTCCAGCGACCTCCGGCGAGCTTCAATTGACGTCGGCGGCGGACGGCGGCGGCGGACGGCGGCGGCAGACGGCGGCTCCGGTCTCTGATACCACTGTAAGGATCGGATTCCGTCTCCGGCTCAGGTCTCCAACCTTCTAAACTAAACTCACACACACCACTCTAGGACTAGGCCACTCCATCTCCCATGTTTACTCACTCTTCTTCACTCCACTAAGGAACTCTCACACAAAGGGAAAGGAAGAAGGAAGACACTGCATAAATGTTCTCTCGCAGGCTTATCTCACAAAGGGAAGGGAGTGTTGACTTTATAGTAGGCTGCCTGCCTATAGAGAAGTCACGGGCAAAATTAACAGAACACTCACGGGTGTGTATAGGACACTCACGGGTAAGCCAAGACAAACAAAGGGTGCAGTGGACAGCAAGCAATGGGGCTGATTCCAGGTAAGTCAACAGGACACCAATGAGTGATTTCAACTCAGGGAATCAAAGTGGGAGTAAACATGGGGTGCAAGCCTAAATAATAAAGTGGAAGGGAGGCCTTGGTAGGACCAATACCTCTAACACATGTGACTAATAGCACTTTCTCAAAAGTTGCTTAATTCCGGCCGGGAAACGTTTCGTGACGACTTCATTGATATTGGTGTGGAAACAACAGCAGCCGTAAGCCGGAGGTGGTGGGTGGCAACATGAGTTGATAACCGATAATTGTAATCAATAAGATTTAATAATTATGGGTATAAAAACTTATAAAAATATAAGATAGCTAAATAATATAAACTCTTCATATAAAACCAATCATCATTAAACTACTATTCGATCACATGTAAAAGTTGAAGTTTTATTATGATCATTGTTTTATTGGACTATATAAGTCTTATTTTGAGAATTGTGTTTGTTAATTTTGTCTACGTTTTACTCATTTTATGTTGTTGAGAGTATAATCGTGCTCTTGCCGTGCTTCAACCGTGCTTCTACCGTGCCGCTACGTCGCCTTAATATGATGTGTCACCTCCGATCCGGCATAATTAACCTAAGAGCAGAGTTGCAAAATTTGTGAGATTGTCCAAGTAACAAGTAAGATAACTATCCTAATTATCCAAAAAACACTATTAAATGTAGAAAATTTTAAACACGTTAAAAACACAATCACATGTGGAAATTCTATTGGTATTTAAAATAAATTACTATGTTTACATAAATTAAAAAATACACATATAAGCTTTAATTAATTTATTGATCATGTAATTATCAATTATTGAACAAAAATAACAATATTTCAGGTATTCTGTGAGAGGTAGGCCGTCAACCGGAATTTAGTTACTAAAACCCTACGTACATTTTAAATAATCTTATTTAAATCTTAAATAAGAGTCCATGTTTTAACGGCCTTAAACCAATGTACACATGTCACATCTTTTAGTTTAATTAGAGTATAATTTGTGATCAAGGCTAGGAGCGTACATACCTCATATCGAACACACAAAGATTTTATTGATTACTTTGTGATTCGGTTTACCAAAGCGCTACTTTATTATACTATTCATATCATTACTATTAAAAATGCAAATATATAAGAATTTTTAAAATTTGGAATAACTTGAAATGTTTAACATTTTTCAAAGGAAATTATTATAATAGGAACTGAATAGAACTTGAACTTGAAATGCAAATAAGACTAACATAAATTTCTCTAAATAGGAGTACCATATTTTTCTCCGAATAAATACTCGATCATTCAAAGTATAGTTATTTCACAACCGACCATGTACGTAATGCTAGTATGGAAATATAATTCAGATTTGACAGTTTTTACTTAATAATACTATTTGAGAGAAAATACATACGTTTTCTCATCACATTTAGATCGACCAATCTCCCTAAAAATTTAGTTCTAATAATAAAAGAGAAAAGGAGTTTATCTAGAAATATATGAGTCGTGTTTTAAGAATAAAATAAAATAATAATTATACTAAAATATACAAGCATACGTTAATTACATGTACGTAGGAGTAAAGGTACTGATTACGTGTCGGTATCAATGATATTGAAGATTTGAGTTATAAAGGAATATATTAACAAATACGTACGAAGGACAATGGTTGATATGGGCTGGTCAATTAAATTCAATTCTTTTCCAAACACACTTACAGCTCTTATTACTCTAAAGACGTACGTACATTTACGTAGAATATAAAACTTTTATCTATTGGTCTTGTAAGGTCTTGATAAACACTGACCACAGCCTTAGCAATAATTTGGTTGAAAGTATATTCGAAGAAACTTTTTATAACTTAAAAGTATATATATTCAATGCATTTGCCTTGGATTCAAAACAAATCTAAATTAGTTTTGATTCCGTAAACAACGTCCTAGGGGCAACCACTACTATTACCTAATATACTGCTAGTCTGCTAATAAATATTTTGAATATGATTCTATATTTTATCGTGAAATTTGGATTTGCAATAGAGCAAAATCTCTAGCTAGATCCAACTATCAGATAAGTCATTGCAAATGCTCTCATGTCTAGGGTAATTTTCTATGATACATTCACTCCTAAAAAGAAGTTTTAACTATCGTTTTTCTTTATTTGAGTTAAGTATAGTAATTAAATCTCATATATACCGAGAATTAATGGAACATATTTAGTCATATTTCAATTCACTTCTATATTTTACTTTTTTTCGAACATTTTTTTTAATACTTTTTGCAGGTATAATACCCATTTTAAAGTAAGGTGCAAATTAAAACCATTAGAAGTGAAGTGTGACAACAAACCCACTCGATGGCAGTGTACAAGCAAATACCGACTAACAATTATCACATAGAAAGAAAAACAATATTAGACCAAATAACTAGACATGTAAACTATTTAAAGTAATATTGTGATGTTTTGGATTGAAATTTCAATCTCAAACTTAGAGTCTTAATACACAAATCGACTGAATTATAAAACTTATTAAGTTATGTCTGACTGAAGTGACTGAATTGATTGATTTTGTTCATTAATGTAAAATTTGAATTGAAAATCTATTTTATTAATAAGATAAAGAATTTTTTTTGTGGAAAGATAGTTCAATTGGCTCTCTACAGTAATTTCAGTTATTATAGCAAAAAAAAGTAACTTCAATCTCACGTTTCTTATGATTACACAATTCAGTCTGTGAAACAAAAGTTACGTATTTGATGGAAAAGTTAGCTGATAAGCTGAAAAACAAACTCAACAAAAAGTTTGCTTAATACGGAGTTTAAAACAATCTTTATCAAAATAAATGGATTCAAAATAGACAAATTTAAACAAATCAAGTCATACTGGGCAAAATTTTTAATCCAATTAAAAATATTATATATACCTCCCCCATTTGTTTGACAAATATTTCCCAAAACTTTACTACAGTACAAATATACGGAGTAAGTTGGTCCGACCACAAAAGCTGTGGAGTATCACATTTATTGAGCACATTCCCCGTACGTGTGACGCACTATATATATGAACACCATTTGCTCATTCTCCGTCTACATCTTCTGATCTCGTTTATCATTTTTGTTTTCTCCTTAATTCACAATTAATTGTGTTTAACGCAAAATCATTCCGGACCGGCTGAACCAGTGGTTTCCGGCCAGAACTATTCCGTAGCAAGAATGGTGAAGTTCTCAAAGGAGCTGGAGGCTCAGCTTATACCGGAATGGAAGGATGCTTTTGTGAACTACTGGAACTTGAAGAAACATGTAAAAAGGATCAAGCTTTCAAGACGAGCCAAATCGGTTCAAGATGGCCATGATTTTGGCCGGTCTATTTTCGATCCGGTTCGGGCTCTGGTCCAGAAGCTCTCTGGGAGGGACGGGGACGCCGGCGTCGAAAAGCCGGAAAGTTCTCAGGTACTAAACATGTCCTACGCGTGCTTTCTGACGTGGACTTTACATATTTTGTTCGAACATATGAATAATGTAAATTTTCATATGTTGCGTTTATTTAAGAACGGATGTAGTATAGTATTTAGTTTCTAGGTTTTTCAAATAGAGTTGAAATCATTTTCGAATATTATATAAATTTCTATACAAATATACAAGTAGATTAGTTGAAGTCCAACATTAATTATCATAAGTTGGCCAACAAAATGAAGATGATTACTCCAATCCGTACTTTTTAAGGAATAGATGGAGTACAATCATAAAAGAGGGGGCATCAATTTCTATACTAAAATTGTAAACGAATTTCAAATTGATCACTTAAGTTAGGTTTTGAATAAATAAAAAATACAAGTTTAATTTAATTTTTTTTTATCTGTTTTGAACACCCACCAAATGTCTTGTATCTTTTATCAATGTAAATCATTAGTTTTATTTTTTCTTTGTATATTTGGTACCAAACATAAAAATCCCATAAACATAATAGCATAGCTAAAGTCTTTAATTGCATCAATTCAATATAACGAATTTATATTTATCAAAGTTACAAAAAATCGTATATATAAAATGAAAAGTCAAAATATAATTTAAACTTGAATAAATTCCACTTCTGATACATGACTATTGTGTTTTCGCTCATATATGATCGTTCGTACAATGTTTTCGGTGATTAAAATCATCGGAGAAGAACCACAAATAATCAAAAACCATTTGTCAAGTATCAAAAGTAGACAAAATGAAATATGTGGACTAAATGTAAAATTGACATAAAATTGAATTAAAAGTGGAATTAATTCTAACTTCTCAACTATGACATGTTATGTGAAACATCAAATTATGTATCCTAAGACACCAAAATATATATCCTAAAACCTGAATTTAGTTAGCTTTTAAATGAATCGGTACCTCTTTTAAAATGATTGGATCTAAGGCTTGATTTAACTCATGTTTCTTGTGGAGCCCATCCAGAGATTATGAATAAGAAAAAAGGTGGTGCACATGAACTAAAAAAGTGAACTAATACGGTATAGAAAACCATTTGTCATATTTTGGTTCGTTGTTATACGGTATAGAAAACCATTTGTCAAATTTTGGTTCGTTGTTTTATTCTCTTTTTCGTTTGTTTCAAAATGAAGGAAATGTGTTCTTTTTTCTTATAAGATATTGGTTGTCCCAAAACATATTGGTTGCCCCAAAATAACTATCTCGTTTCCTTTTTATATGAAAATAATTGTTGTAAAATATAGAGTATATATGTGTTTCATGATATCATTTCAATTTATTTTACTTAAATATCAACCATAAATTTTACTTTTTAAATCACTTTATTGTGCAAAGCTAAAATAAGACAATCAATATAGGGGCTAGTATAATTTTTTCTTCAATTATTTCTCCAGTTTTCTGAAATAGAACCTAATTTTTAAAGATATAAACACGGCGGGAAACTACTACCCATATAAATGCATCAATTTTCTTTGTCATGTTTGTTGGTAAGAGGAAAAGAGGATATGTGGTGTCCTCACCACTTGGCACGCTTGATGTCCGATTACTCTTCTTTTTTACAATTTGTAGTTTCAAATGGACTGAAATAGCTGAAATGATGGTTATAATTGAATTTAATACAAAATAAATTTTGTGTATATTTCATCAAATAAATACATAAAATTATGTGAATAAAACTAAAATAGTGTTCTTAATCAAATTAAGTTAATTCAGTCAGAAAATCGACTTCAATCATTTTTATTACTACAGAATATAGAGTTCTAATAAAAATCGATATTTACTAAAAAAAAAGTTAATTGAAATAACTGATAAATTTAAAATAGAAATCATATGAACATGAACTTTGTTCTTTTTCTTTTATTTTTCATTTACAAAAACATTTTTAGCCCGTTTGGTAACTTTGAAGTTGATTGAATCAACTGAATCTATTAAAATTGATTAACTGTCCGCTAAAGCGGGTGAAATGATGGTATCTGCTGAATTATGAAAAATTTTATTAAAAATATTATTTTATTACGTAATAAATAAAGAAAAATTTATAGGAGTATCTACCCTAGCACCCAATTCCATCAAAAAGTAAGTGTTACTTTAAAAAAATTGCATTAAAAGTTACATATGGAAAATTTGATAAGACTATTGCTAATAAGTTCAAAATAGAGGTCCAAACGGATTGAACGTTTGTTAATTGATGCAATGATGCACCACCATTATACTCCGTACCATGTAGTTCATAAGGTGAGTCATTACGTGGCCGGAAAACCCGACATTCTGCCGGTGTTGGTCGGGATTTTAAACTTTTGGATGAGACGTAGATTGAAGGGATTTGAGTTGGTCAATTTTATGACGTTCGTTTTATTGTATGAGAAGATGTATAGTCAATATAACACTAGTGAAATTTGGTAACCTGTGGGCGTAGTTCAACTGATAATGAGTGAGTGCCATAATGGTTAGGTCCCATGTTCGACTCTCGACAAGAGGTTAGACTCTCGACAAGAGGTTACTCGAGAGAGGACTTCTGCAAGTGCCGGGATGGTGCCCCACTCTCTATATGTCAAATTGTGATTATAATTCAATTTACATCATTTCATCTTGTCGTCCGGTCGGTGTTGCGGGTCCTCAGAGATGAGGTGTCATCCTTTTTTTACTAATAGAATTTGGTACATGTGTTACTGTATTTAACTAGGCGAATAACCAAAGTAAAGGAGAAGAGAGTAGTGATGGAGAACAAGAAAACTATCCAGAAATACGTGAGAATGAAAATGAGCTTGTTCAGTTATTCTCCGAGGAAGATGAGGTAAACTTTTTTTATCTGTGCAGTGTGAAATACATTTTATGTATAAACTTAAAATTGATCATAAATAGATACGGAGTATATATTAATAAAGGTTGGGAACAATATGTAAATATGTGCCCTTTGATCCTTCACTAAATTAAAAAGTTTTTTTTATTAAAATCTTCAAATTCTTTGAGTATCTGTAATATCCTTTTCCAATTGCCTCTTGTGATTGTCTTGAAATGACCAAATCTTTTTCTAAAGGTCGCATGTAAGCGCTCTATCCTCACTTAATTGAATGATACTCAATCTTCAATTTTCAGGTCTTTGATCATGATACTAAATCATAACACATAAATCCTAGACTTCTTGGTTCTTATCTATGCTTTTCTCATCAAGTTCAACAAGATGAACTTCAAGACTTAATATGATATTAGAGTCAATAAATTACAATGAATAATTAGATTTTTAAAGTATCATTAATGAGAAGATTGATTTTTTAGAATGAGACTGCAAAACTTAATACATGAGCTCTTTGAATCTTCGAATCACTCACTGCGTTATTGAATTTACTCAGTGAGAATGTCCATAAATCAACTCAATCTTCAATTAAAATTTGTCAATATTCGGGTAACATGATCTATAAATCTGTAATCAAGTGTCATACAAGAGGTTTTGTCATCAATTAAAAGGCCTTCAATCTTAGTTTGTTAACTATTCTTGAAATAAAGCCAAATATTAATCTAGCTTGGTGTTAATTTATAAGTAATTAAGTATTAATCTTCAGATACCTTGAATATCATATTCAATTTAGTGGAGAAGGCTCATCGAGTTAAATTAAACTTCACATTCTTGAATCTTCAAACAGCTTGAATATTTAAGGGAAATTTCCTGGGATATGACTAAAAGTCATTGAGTTTTCCAATCTATGACTAACTTAATTTTTTGACATTTGTATGACCGAAAATAATAATAATAAAAAATATTTCATTTATATTTAATTGTTGAATGACGAAAATACCCTTATTTAAAGTATGTGCATTTTGCACTGATTTCGTCTATTAAAATTATTGCACTTTATATTTTCCTTAATGCACGACATTACTGCACGATATTACTGTACATCCGGTAATAATCACTGCACTTCTGTCAAAATTAATTCTCTTCTCATTCATTTTACGAAATTATTTATAGCTTTTGTTTTTATTTTTTTAGATTTAATAATTTTATTATTTTATTTTTAATTATATTGCATTACCGGTCATAATCCTTACACAACAAACTTACTTAATGCATTCATTCACTGCCATGTACAACATATATATTGTTGTATTCACTGCTATATTCAATAATATCTATGATGATATTCACTAACCATATTCAATGCCGATATTTAATGCCAACAAACCCTAGTTTTAGAAATTCCAAAATTCAAAATTAGAAAAGAGAATTGAGGATCCATAGCACACCCATCAGCCCGTTAAGTAACACCAGCGCCGCACTCATCCTAAGCATGTGGTAATAAATCAGCAGCCCACCAAACCGTAAAAAGGGATATAGAGGCCCCGTTCTGCGCCTCTATAAACGGCCGTTTGTTGAGATTGAGCGCCGCCCCTTACGCTGGATTTTTTGGTGATGTCAAAGCAACGACCGCTAATTTCAAGACCGGATTGGAGATCGGTTTCGCAGGTCTACAAGTCAGCGGCGTTATTCGCAATAGATCGGAGGTCGGATAGGAATCCCGTGGGTCAGACTGTTTACCTCCGCAGGTTGGTCGCGACGCCTAGGTCGGGCGATTGTGCACCCAGGCCAGCGATACATCTTCGGAAGGCGGCAACTGTGCTCCCAGGCCAGAGATATGTGGTGGCGGCGGCGCTAGACGGTGGCCGGCGGCTAGATGGTGGGTGGAGAATCGTCATGCGCGGCTGCGTGGGTTGGCGGCAGAGGTTATACACGAGCGGCTATAGCTAGGGGTTGGAGAATATGAGTGGAAGATTAGGGTTTTAAAGGTATAAACTAGAGGGTATATTTGTCCACAAAAAAATATTTATTATTTTATTATTTCGAATTTAATTAATTATTTCGTTTTTTAATATTATTTTAAAAAAAAACTAGTTAGGTCATAGATTGGAAAACTCATTGAGTTTTAGTCATACCTAGGATAATTATCTCAATATTTAAAGCGGTGGAGATTCGATTCCGAATCAAATTTAACTGATTCATTCTCTAAACAAATTGAATATTTAATTCGAAAGGGGCCAGAAATTGAAACGAGTTATAGTTTGTCTATCTTTAATCCGGAGTATTTAGAAAGTACAATAGTACTCGTACTACGTATTAAATACGGAGTGATATGTTCTTAAGCCGTCTAATCAATTTGAAAGTCCTTTCCAAATTCCACTCCCACATTACTAATAATAAAAAAATCAATCCAATTATTAATACTCAAATCAATTGAATACTCATTAAATAATGTAATAAAATTTTTAAAAACTTACTTAATACTTGATTTAAAGGAACAATGAAAAAATGATAGATCCATACTTTTATTTCTTACTAACTGTATTTTACTGATTAGTACTACATCCGTCCCGTTGGAATGTTTTCACTTTCCTTTTTTGGATGTCCCAATGGAAAGTTCTCATTTCCCTAAATGGAAAGTTATCCTACATCAAAACAGTGTCAAACAGTGTCCAAACAGTGTCCAAACGGTAAAATTTACCCCTGGTAAGTTTATTTCCTTAATATGTGTGTAGGTCAAACCGGGAACATTCCAACGGGACGGAGGGAATATAATATATGTAATATTATATTGATATATAATACTAATAAATTTTTAAAATTCTACAGTCCCATAAATCGGGTGGGGGTGGGGTTGTTCTGTATAACCTATTTAACCCATAAAAGCGTCCATGTTCTTGAATAAAATTGTTCTTGAAGATTTCATTGGTAGATATGCTAGAGAGCGTGTTCAAATAAATAAATAACGTCTTTATAAGGATGATTAAATTTAATATGGCTTTATCTTACCCTACGCACTATAAATAAAACAAGAGTATAAATGAGGTGTTTCTAATTGGATTATATGGTTTGATCCAGTTTGTTTGATTTTAATTTGGTCTGAATATGTTTGAGATTTTTTAAACAATTTCAAAAATAAATTACAGAGAGTTATGTCTATCAAACATGACATAAACAAAGCTAGTATTGAGTACAATTAAGATCACCATTGTCTTCCTTATAAAGTAGTCACTTCTAACTTAAAATATTTCATAATAATTATCATATTCACTACAAAAAACAACGAAATTCACACGGATTTGGTACGGATCTTTGGCACAAATTTGTTAAAACTCATATGGTACGTATTTGGCACGGATTTGGCACGAATATTTAAAACCCGTGCCAAATTGTGTGTCAATGCTATTTTGGAACAAGCTATTTGGCACGACACCGTTCCAAAAACATGTTATGATCCGTGTCAAACTCGGTCAATCAATACCAAGGCCATATCAATATCGTTGTTTTCTTGTAGTGTTATATTGGGGAATAAAACATAGATACTCTTATTTAATTTGTGCATTTTGATTATCTTGTACTCCTTTGGAGCCGTTGTTCGATCAAATACGTGTAGTAGTTGAATACGTAGTATAAAATGCGAAATCTGGTAGACTGGTAACTCAATTTTTTATTTGATTAATTAATTCATCATTATTGAAAAGAAAAATGTGGATGTGTGCAGGTCAATGTATTTTTCGAAAAATTGGATGAAGAGCTTAAAAAAGTAAATGAATTTTACAAGAATAAGGAGAGTGAGTTTCTTGAAAGAGGGGAGAACTTGAACAAACAGCTACAAATTCTGTTGGATCTGAAGCATGTTATCAATGACCGTCGCCGGAAACTTCTCGGCGGTTCAAAATCGGCTTCTCGAGGTTTCTCCCGCTCTTGCTCCTCCGCCCAAGACTCCGATTCATCCGGTATGTACCAAATCATGTCTCCATCTTTTATATATGCATTCATAATCAGTTGTTTGATCTGGTATTGTTAGAGTGTGTTTGTTCTCTTAATTAAAAGTGCCCCTCTAAAAAGAATATATAAATTATCTTGTAAAATGATCTAATAACAATTATTTTCAATTAGACTGAAAATTTCAGGTCTCTTTATTTGGGTTTGATCTAATTTGTTTGATGTATTTTAGTAATAGAGTATTGTCTGACTCAAGTTAGGTCATTCTTAAATTATCCTGAGTGATGAATTAATCTTAGTAGTAAGAAATTTAATACTACGTATGAAGTAGTACATATGTAAAAAGGGGAAATTCCCAGGCATACTAGTATATAATAACAATATACTGTATAAATTTAAAATATGCGACGTAGTATTATGTTTTTCTCCTAAAAACAATTATTACACGAATATATTTTGTACTCCGTAGTATTTTCTATATTTGACATTGTTTATCTTATGTTGTAAAAACCGGACCGGAGAGTGACCCGGCCACATGACTGGGTCACGGGTCAACCCGGACCCGGTGGGTCAACCCGGTCAACGCCGGAAAACCGGTCAATGATTATACGTCTATATAATAATAGCAAACATATAATTATATATAAAATTATGATAAAAATTAGTTATTATTCATAATAATCAACTAACAATACTACTTATTAAGCATTTAATACACTCTTATAATATTTCAATGCATATTTTGATCTTATAAAAATATATAATGATATTTTTATTTTTATTGTATATCTATATTATAATTTGGCATGATGTTCATTATTAAATAAATATATAAATATATTACATAGTTTTTCTTTTTAAGGTATTGAAATTGAAATTTTATTGGTATAAAAAATGCATTAAAAATAAAAAAGAAATTACTTTTTTTGGTAAAAACACCCAAAAACTGGGTTTTACCGGGTTTTTCGGGTTTCTTGGGTCCGGGTCTTGACCGGGTTTTCCCGGGTCAGCCGAGTTTTTCCGGTTTTTTACTATTTCCGGGTTTTGAAAAAACCGAACCGGTTTTTTGTCCGGGTCACCGGGTTCCGGGTCAACCCGGCCGGGTCGGGTCGGTTTTTTAAACATAGTGTTTATCAAGTACACAATGACCACTTATATATATGGTCCATATGGAGTAAAAATAAAAAACTCACATATTGCAATTTCACAATGTTTTTACTCTCATTCATCACAAGTTTTTCCATAAAATATCAGCTTCTGATCTAGTTTAGATGCTACAAATTGGGGGTGTCACAAGGAATAAATCTCGGTTTCAAATTGAATACCATCACATGCGAATCTGTGATAGAGATTATTATATAAAAATACATAATCCTATCTAAGTGCTTAAGTCAATTACATCCTCTCACTCACTATTTTTGATTAAAATCTAATTCTCATCTTCCTAGTCAATCGTCCCCAATGGATGTTGGGAACTTGGGATCAGACATGAAGTGTGATTCTTCTTTATTAAAATTGGGATTTGCTTGAATGCTTGTGTACATGAGTGGGTGGATCGAATAAGGAATATGTGATTAATTAGATGTGGTTCGATCGCCCACTTTGTGTAGTGTTCATGTTGCAGTAGATGGTAAATAAGATGCATACATGCAAAGGACCAGGGGCGGAGCCAAGAGGGGGTCAGGGTGGTCAGTCGACCCCGCTGAAAGTTTGAGAGCATAGAGCTCTGAAATATTTTCGATTTGATATATTATGGCCCCCGTAACTCATTACGAGTAAAAAGTTATGACTTCTGCAAAATCAGCACTATCTAAACGTAAAATCAGCAAAATTTGATGAGTAATACAAATTTTTTCCCCCAAATTTTAAAAATAGCGTATAATTAACTCATTACTTACGTGACATGACTCAAAAATAGAGCAAAAAACAGTCTCTTTTATTGTTACGAGTGCCTATTTATGTAAACTACATATAAAATATTCAACTCGGACATTGTATGGAAACGATCCACCGTTTTCATTTTGTATAAAGTTGATTCTCGACCCCTGGACCGTATTTTGTATAAAGTTGACACTGCAAAGGACTACATATACGTACAGTTCATGATTCCACCAATAAAGTTTTTCGTTGGCAATCGGTTCTTCTCGTAGTTTCTGATTCGCTTTACAAGCCTCTTAATTAGTGGATTACACAACATTTCATTCATACAGAATCCACTTCCCATCTCAATGTATGGTGGCCATTTTACTGCATGCACTCATAATGAATAGTACCACATACTGTATATTTATGCACTCATATTGTCAGATCTGTATTTTCAAGTTTGTAAATGTCACATCTTAATTGTCCAAATTGTTGTAAATGTAATCTTTTGAGAGGTGAAGGTAGAATGTGGGTGAGTACATTTCACCCATTAAAGGATCACATTTATACTAATTTGGACAATTAAGGGGTGACATTACCAACTCGAAAATACGGATCTGACATTTCAATATGGTGACTATTTCAGGAACTAAAAGTGAGATTTTCCCTCGTAATAATTCAAATTGATACTTGGTTTTTATTTCATATAGTAGTAATAGATCGACTTCGAGACAACGAATATGGGATTAGCTCTTTTTTCCTATAAAAATTGTAACTAATTTTCATATAAAATTACGAATTCAAATTTCTCGAATTCAAATTTCTTTCCTAGTCAACATTTTCCCCATCAATCGCCCTAGTCATGGACCCGGCGCGGGAACCGGCCCGTCCCGTGCGGGTCCGGCCCGGCCCGGAAGACCGGTTCCAGTACCGGGCCTAGGCCCGACCCGGAGAGCATACCGGGGGCGGTCCCGGGGCACCAAAATAGCGAACTGGCCCGGCCGGTTCAGACCTTTTTTTTGGGTTTGGGCTGGGTTTAGGTGGGCTGGGCTGGGTGATTCAGAGGGGTTTGGGGGTGGGGGTGGGGGGTATGGGTTGAAATAAATAATAAAACACACAAAAAATATAACCGGGAACCGGTAGCCTACCGGGCCGGTCCCGGGCCTTACCCACAACCTTCCAGGCCCGGCGGACGGGCCTAGGCCTGAACTGGACCGGGCCCGGTCCACCACTAAATGCCCCCTCAGCTTCTCCATTTCCATTGTCGTCGCACTCATATTGGACATATTTCCAATTTTCTTATAGTAAGTTGTCAGAAATAACATTATGTAAATGCCAAAGGGATGTTTTCTTGAATTGTTTTGGTAGAAATGACATCGAAAAAGACAACAAAGTTTACTATCGGTGATCATAGAGTCACACATTGGACAGTTATTTTGACACCAACACTGTGACATAATAAACGAACAATAGTGACATAAAAATGTACACTACCAGTGACGTAAGAAACTGGTACACTACAAAAAAATACGGGATTGACAAAGATTTTTGGAAGGGATTTTCGGAAATTGGCAGAGATTCGCTAAATCCGCGCCAAAAACAATTTGGCACAAAATCATCTGTAAATCAATGCCAAAACCATGCTAATCCAGTAATGTTTTTGTAGTGACAATAAGCTATGGAGTACAATCTAGTTTTCAAATTCTGTACAAAAATAAGGATAGTGGTAATATTGGTCAAAAACAATTTATGTTCTATTTTTAAAATTATGTAATCATGACACAAAACTCATAGTAATTATAGTCATATTTTTGTATAAATCTCAATACAGGGGTAGTCAAATCGTTGAAAGTGAATTTCAATATAGTAAAATTTGAGAAATATCTTATGTTTTATAATTTAACTTCTTTTTTCATTATTCAAAAAGTAATTATCCTTCTCTGATCTCTAAAATTTTGTTCCCTCCTGATCAAATTTTGAGTATGTACTCAGAACGACCTATAGCATGAATGGGAAACCTAATGAAAATAATGTCACGCGTCATCAATCACTAGCAACATTGCTCCATAAATTGTAGAGACGTGTAATCAAACATACATTGTTCATTTGTTCCACTTGAATTAAAGCAACACTTATTTAAAAGTCATTATATTTGAGGGCTCATAAATATGGAACAGATGGGTAGAGGCTTACCACATACGTTTATTTCGTTAAGTCTACCATTTAAGTTGCACTTCATAATGTCATATACCTCATTGATTTTTCAGTCTCAGATTATCGAACTAGAATAGACTAGACCAGACTTAAAGTGTCGGATCAGATTAGATTTCGACAGTTGCAAAATAAATAGAGATCATATATTTATCATATCAGACTGGAACAGTTCAAACCAGACTTAAACAGATCAAATCATACTACAAAATTTCATTCTAATTAAACGTAACACATCGGTATTATACTGCACCAATGAGTTGTGGATTGAGGCATCGGGTTTGAGAGGAACCTTTTTTTATGATTACTTTAACAAATTCAATTTAACATTTAGGTCAAACAACATAGGGTAATAACATATACAAGTATGGTTTAAAACTATGAGTAATAGAATAATAACACTCAGTCACTGAACAATCATTTCCAAAAACATACAGTAAAATTGTATACCTAATTTGACTTAATTTATCTTTAATTTTTTGATATGTGAGAATCATCAGAGGTTGAGTTTTGATTTCCATGGAGCCTCTCTTCAAGTCTGTACCAATTGGAAACAACGATGCTTTAGGTTTATACTTCCTACGGAGTATATCAAATGAAATGCTTGATCGTGATGTTTTTATTGTTGGATGTTAGAGTACGTATTAATAATTAAGACTTCAGAAATAATTTCACGCAAATTCCTAATCTGAATATGATGGGAAAAAAACAACCATGAGATCAATCATTGTCGTGTACAAAAACACACAAATAAAAAAAGACTGTTAAGATTTGTAAAGGGAAATTACTCAGAGTAAAAACGTTTCAAAATTCTAAAATAGAATTGTCATATTTTTAATTATTTCATAAATAGTACTACCTCCGTCCCATAATAGTTGTCTCATTTCAATTTGGCATGGTTATTAATAAAGTAATTGAAAAATAAAAGTTGTGGTTGAGATTTGAGTAGAATGAAGTGAAATGATATAGACTACAAATTTCTTACCAAAAGGGAAACATGATATCCATTTTAGGACAACCAAAAAAAGAAAGTAAGACAACCAAAATGGGACAGAGGGGGTAGTAATTACTGCCAAACTCAGAAAATAATGTCAAGTTTAAAATTTAATTTGTAACGCCAAAACATGACAATAATTACTCATATCTAAAGAATAAAAACACAATAATCATATTTTGGTATACATAAACGTTTTTTTCTATTTAGGGTAGTTTCTCGTTTCTTTAATACATCCCTTCATCTCCCAATAATTAATTTCTCACTTCCCAGGAGCTGCGAGAAGGAGAAAACCTAGAATATGACCGTAAATCAATTTTTTGGAAAAATAAAAAGTAGTCATATTTTTGTTTTTTAAAGGTATATGACTAATATTTCTTTTCATTCTTTCTATTTATTAACGAAAGAAAAGATTCATATGTGATTGTCCAAAAACAACGGACTATGAAACTTTAGTGGTCAATATAAGATTCACATATAATCATACTACGTAATATTCAATTTGGTCCACGTGAAACCTTAGTGGCGAGTATGATATTCACATGTCATCATAATGCCGAATTTGATCTTTCTCGTGTTTAAAATTTTACCGCGTGTTTTTGTTTATATTTCATCTGAGGAATCTGTTTTATTAGATCAGTGGTCTTTCTTTTGGCATAAAAATGTTTTAAATATCGGATTAGAATAAAAAAGTTAGAACAGTTAAAGTTAAATAATAATACAGAGTAGACTTGCCACATGACTCTTCATCAAGTCTAGTCTATCCATACCAAATTTCAGCTTAAAATTTTATCAAGAAGATAGTCAAATAATTTTTTGAATATAATTGCGCTAAAATATACATATAAAACCTAGTTATTTTCCAAAATTTATTTAATTGTCTTCCCAATTGTAATTTAAGCTAAAATTTGGTGTGAATAAATTAGACTTGAGGAAGAACATGATCATTCCTCTCTCTCTCTCTCTCTAGTTGGCATAGAAGTTCATCCATAGCTTTAACTAAGAACTTAGCTCCTTGAGCTCATACTACGGGTGGGCAAACGGGTATGGAACCGTGGTCCGGTCCGAGTAATGGCGGTTTGGATCCAAAACGGGCTGGTTCCAATTTTTTATACTACAAAACAGTCCAGGTAGGGGCGGGTATTAATTTTTTCCGGTCCGGGATGGTTCCTAAATATGAAAGTTCCGGGTACCCGGCCCGTTACATACGTAATTTCTATTTGTTAAGCGCTAGGACAGTGTCAACTTAGCCCATTACGCGGTTTGCCCATTAGCCGTTAGTCCTTAACTGAGTTGCTCTAGAGGAGTTACGCCTCTACCGTAAAATATTATAACTTATTGTTATTCTTGTTACATGTAGCATCTACTTTATTAACCGTAAAATATGAATTTGTTATTGGTAAGGAAATATATTAATTAGGTGAGAGTGAATCTACACAACCATTTGGCTAGTTTTAACTTTTAAATACTTGAGAATATAGATACCGAGAATTACAGATTACAGAACGGGTAGCATTTAGCATTTAGCAGATTCAGAATGGCTAAGACATTAACAACTTTGTAAGTTGTTACTACTTTTAAGAAATACAAACTGGAACCGAAAACCCGGAGCGGACCGACCCGTTTCAAACGCGTCCGGTAGGGTCCTGTTCCTATTTCCAAAATTGCAATAGTCACAGACCGGACCGACCGTACAATGGAACCGACAGTTCCATTTTATTTTTCATTACCCGGCCTGGCCCGCGCCCAGCCCTAGCTCATACTAATTACAAAAGAGTAACTAAGAACAAGGAAATACAATAACATACAAGAAATAATACCTAGAACCAATTGTAGAGGATGGAAATGACTTGTTCTCCAACACTTCAAGGAAATGCAAAAATAAAATATAAAAAACTGAAATTTATGCTTTAAGGATGGATTGATGATCTTGTTTGATGAATTAAGGGTTTTATATAGGCTAAAGATTGACATCTTTTAGCCTATTCGAGCCCAACAATTAGGCATCGATGAAATATTTGATCAGATCATAAGGAAAGTGGTTTTTCCCATCAAAATATGGTTGCACGTCTCTTTGTATTCTGCAGAATCGGACCTAACCGGCACTGGTTTCAAGTCTGACCGGCACCAGTTCTTCATTGCGCTCAGGGAAAACTAGTAAAAAGGCCTAACTAGTGCCGAATATGAGGGCAACCTGGCGCCGGTTAGGGTATTATATAGTGACCTTTGTGCGAAAATCAACGGAACAACGCCGGTTATAAGGGCAGACCAATGCCGGTTATCCCATTTTTTGTATTACTCCGCTTTTCGCTCCGTTTGACGCCCACTGTTGACCCTGAAGTGCCAGTTCTTGGTCCCTTTTTCCCGTTGACTCCCGTTTCTTCATTTTTGACGCATAAGTGCGGTTTGGTCAATTTGGGATTTTTACCTGTTTTATCTTTGAATGTTTGTACAGTAATCATAATTACCTATATAAAATATAGGTAATTATTGTGCTTATCAGGGTTTTAGGGGAAAAAAATGATAAAGATTGTTTTACAAATGTAACCTTCAAAACGTAAGAAAGCGAAATATGGGTTCACAAAAAGCAATGGATGAATGATAAAAAAAAAAGCAAAAGATGAAATTAAATGATACATAAAGCGATGAAGTAGGAAAGTAGAAAGTTAGTGGAGTCCAATTTAAGGTATTATATTTTTGGGACAATCCTAAAAGGAAAGTATATATATCTTACAAAATGAGACGGGAGTAATATTAGTTTATAAATGTCACTATTGCTTGTTTTAGGATTTGGGCATTCTTTTAATATGTACCTTTGAAATTGAATTTATAAAATATAAAACACAGAGAATCGGAACGAATGTTGTGTTAGTCCAACAATGGAAGACAACACAACATCAGAGACAGACAATGTGATCAGCGCACTAGAAAGGAACGGAATAGGCTTTATTCACACTTTGACAAATAGGGGAAAATCTAACAAGTGGAAGCCAAAGATGGGAGTAAGAATTGAGATTCCAGCCACCACCCCAACACGGGCCATCTCCACCATCACATCAATGGTTTTGGAAGATTTTCTCAACAACCCCATCAAAGAAGGTGAAAGAGAATATGTGAATAATAGGAAAATCCAATGTGCTGAAAAGATGATTAGAAAGGCTTTTGTGGAACTCTACCGTGGGCTTGGATTACTAAAAACATACAGGTTTGATTTTGGCCATAGTTTCTCATCTTTTTTTTCACTTAATTATAAATGATAGGTGAATAATATGATTTCCCATAAATAAGTGAGTGTTGTACCAAAATGCATGTTATTGATCCAAACGAGTAATAAATTCATTGTTTATGTTTGAATTATTGAATTATAATGTTGTAATATAATTGATCATGTACACAAGGCATGTGATTGGGCTTAACATACTTATATGTATACATGTGCCATTTGTAGAAATAGATACATACAAAATAACATGTCACATCAATCCATAGGAAAGTGATGTTTTATAAAGTTCAAGAGAAAGAAAGAAACAATAAAAGGAAAAGGAAAAAGAAAGGGATAAAAGGAAAAGGAAAAGGAAAAAAGTAGAAAAATGGTGTGCGCCGTGTTAGGCCACATGTGTGCCCCTGTGAGCAAGTAATCTGTTGACTGGCGAGTTACCTGTCAAAAATCAGTTTTGAAGAAAATTACGTAATAAAAGTACGTAATTGATTAAAGTAAAGTATGTATGAGAGCCTAATTGACTTTTTGTATAGAATATGAGGGTCAATGTTAACACTTTTTGCTTTACAAAAGGTATAGAACTTGATTATGAAGAATCGATGGCTCTTTAGTTCATTCTCAAATTCTATGATGTTTTGTTTATTATTGTTAGAGTAAATCTATTTTTCATGTTTTGTTCTTTTGATATTTTGAGTACTTCTTTTCACAATTTTCACAAGTGCAATACGAAAGGTTATAGGACAATTTTCAACGAATTGAATGATCTATCAAGTATCAACTTTACATCATCGCTCTCTCCCAGTCTTAGTTGAAGATCTTATGAGTTTTTTTAAACGAAGATCCTATCAATTATTGTTCGAGCAATATTTATTCTTTTTTTAAGCTTCAAGAAATATTTCTAGGCGGATGTTAGGTCATTGGAATATTGTTGTTCCCTTTCTAACGAGTCTCCATCATAATTCATGTTTCATTAATAAAACTCATAAACTTTAACTCCATGGTATTTGTTTCAATTAAAATCTTTAATTAGATTTACTTTATATTATCGCGAGTCGAAGTTCGGCTGATAACTACTCTTATTATAATCCATTCATAGATACATTTGACATCGCTTCAAATAAAAACCTCAATTGTTTCTCATTTCTTCTTGTGTCAAATGCCTCAAAGGAAAATATCTTAAATTTTAAATCACTTCATTTTAATCGCATTGAACTCAAAGATTATATCAACAACTTCACTCTAAACATAATGTGCATTAGAAGTGTGTTAATTAAGAAATCAGAAATCATTACATTGTATTAGCCCACTTACAAATGGAAATCATGCATTTGTATATAAAAAAAATTATTCTAAAATGAAACATGCACACTTTGAATATTGACAAATGACGAAAGATATATATATATATATATATATATAGCATGAAAGGGGGAACCCCATATTGAAACAAATAATAGGAATAGTAGTCTTCATGGTTTCTTGTATATATGTGATAGAGTATTAATTCTAGAGAGAAGTGAGAGCTAGAGAGAGAAAGTGAGTAATTATATTTCTCAACCCCCTATAACTAGCCCCAAGGGGTCTATTTATAGGTAAAAATGTGGATTTGGGCTCCTAGCCATGGGCTTAGGAGGCCCATTACAATAATCATGTCTTCTTTGGGCGAAATGGGGCCACTAATGGGCTGTGTACAATACTTAGTAAATAAAGTAGAAAGATGCACTCTGCCAGGTCGGAGTCTGGCCGTTGCGGTGTCTTTTGGCTGCCGATGCGGTCCCATGGCCGATGCGGGCCCACTGGCCGAAGGGGGCCACGTGGGTGTTCTGGTCATCGTTGACTTGAGTAGGTGGGCCATGGGGTCCAGGCCCGTATACTCTATCAATATGTGTTTGGCTCTTCCTTCTTTTAGGGTAGATAGGAGCAGTTTTGGAAATGGTTTTTTTAAGGGAAGTGAAGCTTTAAAGAACTTAACTCTGAGTAGGCTTTGGTATAGCCCTCCTACTCCTTGTAACCTCCTTTTCTTCTAATAAATTGGTGAGGTATTTACTGGCCCTCACCCCAAAATCCATGGGTTTTGGAAACTTACCAGGCAAAAAAAAAAACTTAACTCTATCAACATATTGTAAATCATAATTAACATCATCTTTTATGATTTATTCATTTGATGTTATCCTGATTTGGCAGCTCTCTCAACATGGTGGCTTTTGTGAAGATCCTTAAGAAATTTGATAAGGTAGGCATGTGTATGAAGTATGCTATTATGTCTCCCATTAAATATTTTTATTCAACACCCCATGGTCCCACCCCATTGCCCTCACCATCATTATGAATTTATTATTGTTTGTATTACTATTATCACTATTATTTTTATCATTATCATTAACATTATTATTCTTATCTTTATCATCATCATCACCATCATTACCATTATTACTATTAGTGCTATATATGTCGTTGTTATTGTTATTATACACATTTCTTACAAGTCTAAGTAATATATGATTGGTACACATATTATTACTACACTAGATACTATGTGATAATTAATATAAGACTTACATGGGATTTTAAGTGCTTTAAAATGAGTATTTCTATACTTCATATTTTATTCTTGTTAGGTAATTAAGTAATTTTATACAGAGTTTGTTTTATCACTATAATATAGATTATTATTTAGTTCATTGTCTAACTCATCCAATTAAAATAGAATTATTGTTGATTCCATAATACAAGTTCTTGATGAATACAGTTTATTACTATTAACATGCACTCAATCCGTCACATATCAAGGTTCTAGTCAACTTGACACGGTCAAGACATAAAATTAAATTCACCATGATCAGATGTAAACACACAGTCAAGCAATATTAGTTAATTAAAAGTTAATTTTTTATTAATCACTTTAGGAAGCTAGAAAAAGTGTGATGAGATAGATTCGGTTCTTTGAAGGAAAATTAGGAACCATTTGAATAACTGTTAATTCAATATTGTTGGTTTGGTTCTAGAATTTGTTGAAGAACAAATAGTATCTCGGTGCAATTCTTGTATGTTACCGGTTAATCGTTAATAAGTAAAAATACTTAATTATTATCATTCTTGATCGTTAAACCACAATCACTTAATAAAAATATAATGCCAAACTATAAATATTTAACCGCAAATATTTAAACGAATTTTAACAAACTATTAATAAATGGAAACCAACTATTAAGAAGAAATTCATTATTACACCTATGTTCATACAGCACGTATCAGTATGTGTGACAATTGTGTAACACCAATCATTCTAACTCATTGACTACTCTAACATAACAACGTAATTGATAATAGTGGGACTAAGTTTGCAGATCATCCTCTAAACTTTGAGTTGTCTAATGAACTAAAACCGAAAGACTAGACTTGAGAATTGTGTTGGTAGAACACCGCATTAATTACTAGATGAATTGAATTTGTTTGTTTTTTGATAACTTTTAATTATTTTGTATATTTTACTACATTTAGACTTATGAAATGATGTGATCCAGGTATCTAAGCAGGAGACATCTACATGTTATCTCAAGAAAGTGAAGATGTCATATTTCGTTAGTTCTGATAAGGTAAAATAGAGACACATAATTTTTGCATAATTTGCTGCCATTTTTTCAATTATAATGAAAGTTTTCCAATTTATTTTATACTTTTCATCCTTTATTTAGATTTACACTTAAATATTCTATGACATTTTAGTCCATTTCTAATCTATAGGATAATAAAAGTGTGCTTATGAAAATTTCAATCACCTAGACAAAAAGACCTTTAATTGAAATCGCATACAACGGGAAAAAACCCAACACAAATTCATATAGTTTATTCATATTATATGTCAATTATGAATCGTTTAACTATAGTCAATTACATATAGAGTTTCACAGAAATGCTCAGGTCCCTCCGGAGGGACGGGAGCAGCCGTCCGAACTTCACTGTTTGGGGCGGTTCCCGGTGGAATTTTTCGATGAAATTTTTTGAGCATGTTCCTCATCAAGTATAGTTTGTCCATATCAAATTTCAGCTGACAATTCGATCGGGAAGGCAGTCAAATAAAATCTTGAAGCTTACTGCACATTCTGCACATATATAAAGTGCAGTAAGTTTCAAGAATTTAGGGAAAAGGGGCAAATAAGTCCTCAAACTAATCAAAAAAGTGCAAATAAGCTCTTTTGTAGGAGATTTCGTCTGTCTATCGTCATTTGGGGAGGTTCCCGGTGGAATTTTTTGATGAAATTTTTTGAGCATCTTATTCATTAAGTCTAGTTTACCCATACAAAATTTCAGCTAAAAATTCAACCGGGAAGGCAGTCAAATGAATTTTTTAAGATAACTGCGCAGTTAAACAACGCAGTGTAGTTCCGAAAATCATTTGAGTGCCTTCCCGGTTGAATTTTTAGCTGAAATTTGGTATGGCTAAACTAGACTTAATGAAGAAGATGCTCAAAAAAATCCATCAAAAAATTCCACCGAGAACCTCTTCAAATGACGATGATCGGACAGAACCTCCCACAAAAGGGCTTATATGCACTTTTTTTATTAGTTCGAGGGCTTATTTGCCCCTTTTCCCAAGAATTTATTTGACTGCCTTCCCGATCGAATTTTGAGCTCAAATTTGGTATGGACAAACCAGACTTGATGAAGAACATGCTCAAAAAAATTCATCAAAAAATTCCACCGGGAACCGCCCCAAACAGTGAAGTTCGGACGGATGCTCCCGTCCCTCCGGAGGGACCTGAGCAGTCCTCTAGAGTTTCAATTATCATGTCATACTGCGTTTTTTTCTTTGGTTTCCTATTTTTACTTTTAAATCATTTTTTACTTTTATTTTCTTTTAGTATGTTTAGTTTTCTTTTCGTATGCTTTAAGCATTAATATAACTTTGCATGTTAACTTTTGCTCTGTTTAAACATTTTAAACTACTTTAAAATAATCAAAATTTTATCTTTCTATATCACAAATAAATACTTACAAGTTACAATTACATCCTTACATATAATATAAGCTGTTTTTTACAACTTATTAATTTCTACTTACATTAATTTTTATTACACACTTTATTTGTAAGTTATTTTATTCATTAATTTATTAGCAAATATTTTTAATATACAAATAATTGTGTGATTACAACTTGTTTCATGAAATTGAAATTATATCAACCATGAAATGTTTTATTCATAAACAATGATGATAATTTTTTGGTGAAAAGAAAAGTATAGTAGCATAATATTCTGTAGAGTGAATAATTTAGTTAAATTTTACTCCCTCCACCCCCCGTAATATTTTTGTAATATTTGAGTGGTTACAATTCATTTTTAGTTTATTCACATTTTATTAATTCAATATCAACCACACATTTTTAATTTTTATCGTGTCCCAATTTTAGGGGGGCGGAGATAGTAGTTTGTACTATTCATTGAATTGTTTATATACATGATGTGTATGACATAGTATTAAAATACAAAGTCGACCCCTGATCAATATTTCTGGATATGCCATTGTATATATATCATGTCATATATTTAGGGAAAGCTTCAATTTTAGTCTTCTAACTTTGGATGTTTCAATTATTAGTCTTGCAATTTTAACACTTGCAATTTTGGTCTAATAATTACTAAATGTTTACAATTAAAGAACTTTTTTCTTGAAAACTAGAGTTTGTGGGAAAAAAAATATACCGGAAATGATGTTGTTCACGTCGGATTATCATTCAAAAGTATTCTTTTAGTGGAAATGTTCTTAAATTGAAATGATTTATTACTTGCAGGACCAAATTTGCAAGCAGATAATTTACAGCACTAATAACGGTCATAGCCAAAAATTACAGGAATAAGTTGTTTAAATTAAAGTATATCTAATTGAAATGACTATTTTCGACAAAAAAAATATTGTATTGAAAACGGCTCTTATCTTTGAGTGGACTTTTTCGAGAGAATGATACCTAAGAAAACCATTTCATGTGGCCAAACTTATTTATTAGAGGTATAGGGAGTGTTTGCAATTGCTTCAACTTTAAAGAAGTGATTTTTTAAAGTGATTTTGGGAAAAGTGATTAATAGTAAAAGTTGGTAGTGTTTGAGGAAAAAGTGATTCTGAAAAAGTAAAAGTTGGTAGTGTTTGGTAAAATAAGTACTTTTTGTGTAATAGAAAAAGTGAAAAGCAGTTTAAAGCACCCTTCCACCTGCTTCCAGCTTTTAGCTTTTAAGTGATTAATTTAAGCAGAAGCTGTCATTTGAAAACACTCTTTTTAACTTTTTTAAAGCCAAAAGCTGAAAAGCACTTTTTTTAATCAAATGCAAACACTCCCATAAATTGTTAGTAAGTTAATAATTAAAAGAACTTGTTAAACTATGAATGCATTAAATGATATACTCTCTATGTTCTATTGAATTTTGTCAGCTTTTCTTTTCGTTTATCCCAAAAAGATTATCATTTTCTTTTTAAAGTTACGAAATTATAGTTTAGCTAATTTCTCTAAACTTCAACATCAAAGTTTTTAATTTTTTTTATTTCACAGTCAACATAAATCTAGGTGGGAGCCTTTGCGGCACTGGGGTAAATGATGAAAAAAATGCATATATTTGTCTCTCTGTGCTTTAGTACAGAGGTGAGACTGCATACATCCGACCCCCCTTTACCCCACCGTAGGTGGGAGCCTTTGCGGCACTGGGGTAAATGAAAATAAAAATGAGTCAACATAAAGTTGGTAATAATGAAATGGAGGTAATAGTAACATATAAATAATCTTTAACTGTTGAGATCACTCATATATCAAGATTAACTAGATTTTAACATCACACAAAAATCTAACAAGACTTAAACGGACGAGATCGATCTATACAAACCGAATTTGGAAGTTCAAACCATATCATACTAGCAATTCAAGAAAATTAAAATTTTGTTCAAATCATTTTTTTATTGTACAAATTGTCGAGTTCTTGTTGTTCTTGTATTTCCAAGTTTAATTTATCTTTGAATTGTACTCGAGAATACTAGTCTGATATTTATTTATCATTGCAATATATTTATTGATTATTAACTAACTAACTTATACACAACACTTTAGTGAGCACACCAACTGTTATGGATTATATTGACTGAGTAGTGTAAATCACCGTGTCTCATCACAATGGTCTCTATCTTTTATATGAAATTACCTCTATCATATATTGCACCAAAATCTTTTATATATTAAAAATATGTGTTGGTGTGCTAATTAAATAATTGCCTAACTTTATAACTCTTACTTGAAAGTTTTAGATTGATAAAATTGTAAATTGAAAAAAAAAAGCTTTAGAGTACATGCATCACTATTTGTTTTGTTTTTTTTTTCATTTAACAAATCCATTCAGATTTAAAACGGGATAAGAGTCAGTTTGGTCCTCGAAATTGCAAAAAAGGGGTCAAATAAGTCTTTATATAGAAGATTCTGTCCGGACGTGCCATTTGAGGTGTCTCCCGGTGGAATTTTTTGATTAAATTTTTTGAGCATCTTATTCATTAAGTCTAGTTTACTCATACCAAATTTCAGATAAAAAAATCAATCGGGAAGACATTCAAATGAATTCTTGAAGATAACTGTGCCGTTAAAAGCGCAGTTATCTTCAAGAATTCATTTGAATGTCTCCCCGATTGAATTTTTAGCTGAAATTTAGTATGAGTAAACTAGACTTAATGAATAAGATTCTCAAAAAATTTCATCAAAAAATTCTACCGGGAGCCACCTCAAATGGCATGTCCGGACAGAATCTTCTATATAAAGACTTATTTGACCCATTTTTTGCAACTTCGATTACCAAACTGACCCTTTACTCGATTTAAAACCATTTTAAGTTTATATTAGTTTGTACTTCATTTTTTTCACAATAAGAAAAAATGAACGATTCATTTGACTTTACATCTCATATTTTGAATCATATTGAACTTTGCATCGAATTATTTACTATCACCAATTCAAATATTTGTCAATGGATGGGGGTGCAACGATTCAAATAACTGTGCCGTTAAAAGCGCAGTTATCTTCAAGAATTCATTTGAATGTCTCCCCGATTGAATTTTTAGCTGAAATTTAGTATGAGTAAACTAGACTTAATGAATAAGATTCTCAAAAAATTTCATCAAAAAATTCTACCAGGAGCCACCTCAAATGGCATGTCCGGACAGAATCTTCTATATAAAGACTTATTTGACCCATTTTTTGCAACTTCGATTACCAAACTGACCCTTTACTCGATTTAAAACCATTTTAAGTTTATATTAGTTTGTACTTCATTTTTTTCACAATAAGAAAAAATGAACGATTCATTTGACTTTACATCTCATATTTTGAATCATATTGAACTTTGCATCGAATTATTTACTATCACCAATTCAAATATTTGTCAATGGATGGGGGTGCAACGATTAATCTTTTGTTATAAAATGAGGTGGCACATTTTTTTTCTTTCGAAAATGAAATATGAAGTCTAATTTTGTTGCCTAAACTATAGTGTGAAAGTCAAGTTCCCTAATAACACAAATTGTTTATGAGTGTTATTACTTGTTAGTGTGTCATTTGCGGATGAGAATTTGGTTGTAATTATTCTATTAAAATATTTTTATTGTCATTATTATTTATTAGTGTCACTATTTTTTGTAATTAGTTTTCTGCAAAAAATTACCATTACGTATTTTGTGAAGGTGGTTAGACTAATGGATGAAGTGGAGTCCTTATTCACTCAGCACTTTGCTAAAAATGAACGAAAAAAGGCAATGAAGTTCTTGCGACCACAACGACCAAAAGAATCTCATATGATAACATTTTTTTCTGGTAAGAAATAAGAATTACGGAGTAAGTTATAGTCAATGTGTTGTATATTTATATGTAAAATTAAGGAGTGAATTTTTTCTTAGATAGTTAATGAGATTATATTGCATTATGTAGGGTTATTCACGGGATGTTTTGTCACCTTATTTGGAGTGTATGGTATATTGGCACATTTGAGTGGTATGTTTTCCACTGGAACAGAAGTTGGCTATGTTGAAACAGTCTACCCAGTTTTCAGGTAAAAATGGGCATATTTTGTCACTTTAGTTTACACATACCATGTGACGCATACATTATGTTATTATTGTTATTGTTATTGTTATTGTTATTGTTATTGTTATTGTTATTGTTATTGTTATTGTTATTGTTATTGTTATTGTTATTGTTATTGTTATTGTTATTGTTATTGTTATTGTTATTGTTATTGTTATTGTTATTGTTATTGTTATTGTTATTGTTATTGTTATTGTTATTGTTATTGTTATTGTTATTGTTATTGTTATTGTTATTGTTATTGTTATTGTTATTGTTATTGTTATTGTTATTGTTATTGTTATTGTTATTGTTATTGTTATTGTTATTGTTATTGTTATTGTTATTGTTATTGTTATTGTTATTGTTATTGCTATTGCTATTGCTATTGCTATTGTTATTGCTATTGCTATTGTTATTGCTATTGCTATTGCTATTGCTATTGCTATTACTATTCTATTGCTATTGATATTGATATTGCTATTGTTATTGTTATTGTTATTGTTATTGTTATTGTTATTGTTATTGTTTTGAATCAAATAAAAAGAAGTATTACTGTAAAATTTGTGAATGAAATTTAATGATTGGATTTGACACTATATCTAAATTTGACAACAATGCATTAGATTTGATTAAAAACGTAATGACATTTTTATAAATATGTAAACGTTTTCTTCACCACGAAAAAGCGCAATATTTAAATTGAAAAGTGTTGTGTAAAGTAAAATTGAAACCTTTTCACTTTTCACGTTAAGCATTTTCTTATTTGACCCGCACACTATATGTGTGTGTATTATTTTTATGTTCTTTGTGTTCATACTTGTGGTATGAAATTCATAAATAAAAATATACAAGAAGGGCTGCTACAGGATCCCGAGTAGGATAAATAGTGATCAATTTCTAGATAGAGGAAGTGTAATGAATTTGTCATTGTAACAACAGAATTTCGTGACAATAGAAAGTGTAGGGAAAATTAATTTTACATTACAAATGGTACTTATATATAGAAGATCTCACACACTTGTGCAATGCCATGGATGTAGGTCCTAAATCCTGATACTACACCCACAAGTTCTCCGCGGCCCCTATTCAAGATAATACCTATATGTTTATGATGAATAAAAATTGAATTGTGGCAATTGAAACCACTACAATAATGTAGGTCCATCATCAGTATTATTTTGTATGTATAAGAGAAGAGTTTGGACGATCAAATTTGAAGCAAGTTTGTTATATGAAACCCCATAACTAAAAATAAGAAATTCTTTTAGTTGTGGTGTTAGTAACACGTAGTAATAGTAGTATTAGTAGTAGTTCTAATAATACTAATAATTGTAATAATTTTATTTTGTGAACTGCAGCATGTTTGCCCTATTAAGCTTGCATGTGTTTTTGTACGGGTGTAATCTGTTTCTGTGGAAGAACACGCGGATCAATGTAAACTTTATTTTTGATCTACAACCAAAAACAGCCTTAAAATACAGAGATGCTTTCCTTATTTGCACCTCCTTGATGACTATTGTTGTTGGAGCTATGGTCGTCCATCTCATTCTCTTATCCAAAGGATTTACCTCTAATCAAGTCGATGTCATTCCTGGCATTCTCATTTTGGTTAGTCATCATATAACTCTTTCACTATACATGTTTTAACTAGTTGAATAAACTCATTTGTTGAGTAGTAATAATAAAAATAATAGTTGACTCATGACAAAGATAACAATTTCCTAATAATATATGGAGTACATATTAATGAGTATCAATAGTTAGAATCTATATATTCAGAACTGTACTATACATTCTATTGATTCCCAAAAAAAATGTTGAATATGATAACACGTTAATCTATAAAATTGAGAGATAAGAAAAGAGTTAAATTGACGAAATAAGTAGTGTGAGAACCCAAACATAGACGATAGAAGTAATTCTTCTTCTTATACATATATCATATTATATACAACCTTTTTAAAATAATTTCATGATAAAGTATTACCCGTTAACTATTAAAGTAAAAATTTGACCCTATTACTAATTTGAACATTAAAATTGTAATGGTCGTTATTTTTTTGGAAAAAGTGAACTAAAAAATTGAATGTATTATATTATATGCATGGTATATCTTGATGTCGTTGTTGCGATACATATTTCTTGCTCTCTCAATTTGTAATTGGTTCATAATTTGAATTTACTTTGTCAGTGTCTTATAGGAATGCTTTTTTGTCCATTCAACATACTTTACCGCCCAACGCGCGTATGTTTCCTTAGAGTGATTCGAAACATAATTTGCTCTCCTTTTTACAAGGTACTTTTGTTGAACACTATATTCATGTCGTTGTAGCATATACTATATCATATTCATCAAGTAATGAACTAATGCAATTAAAAAGGAATAGTTCTTTAAGTCTTTGATTGATGATTACTAGCTAATTGTACAGGTTTTGATGGTAGACTTCTTTATGGCAGACCAACTTACTAGTCAGGTATATATACCTTCATTTTCATGTGTAAGGATCTAAGATGTACTATATATTGGGGTAAGTAATAAATGAGTCCTAACCATTACTTATGTTGACCCAATTGTGTCAGTGTGTCACCCACTTAAGCCACATTCTAACTAAATCTATTATCACAACAAGTAGTACCAGCCAAAGAGTGGGTTATTCGCATCTTGAGGTTTTTAAACTCAAGACTAAAGTTTCATAGTTATTCGTATGTTTATACACACCATAACACTGCAACATATTTACTTGTAACACTCTTATTTTCATGCCTTTCAAGACACAACTTTAACTATCATTATATTTAGCTTTCTATTAGTAAAAACTAAAAATCAAAAAATTTATTTCAACAATATTTTTCAAAAAAATTATAATTCTAATACAATAATAAATAAAAGTAGTCAAAATAAAACACATGAATAACATAAAATTTTCTATATTGCAACTAAAAAAACAGAGCATAGTATAATCTAAACTCCATATTTCTTTTTAACCATTTCATAAGCCTTCTCAAAAGTATACATGACCTTGACAAAATAGGAAAAATGCACAAAAATAATTCCAATTGTTAGTGATATATTTGGAATAATTCAAAGAATCATTTATCTCAAAATAATTTCAACTATGGAAAAAAAATTATCCAAATGTTTCACTGACTCCTAAATATTATAAGTCATTTGCCAGTTGTTATAAGCCACCGGAGTATTTGGAGAATTTTTATCAATAGCTAGAATTTTTTTGAGAAAATTTATACTTTGAATTCTACTTAGTAAAAATGACATGTATATAACTAATAAAGTTTTCATGGAGAACATATGACTAGTTGTGTTTTTGAACAAAAATATAGTTAGTCGCTATATACGAGTCATTGTGAACTATTCACTATAGTGTGCTTTATAATGACGAGAATCACCATAAATGACAAATTACTACTCCGTCCCGAAAAGTTTGGCCAAATTTCCTTGTTTGGACGTCCCAAAAAGATTTTTCATTTCCATTTAAAGTAAGAAATATGTGGCTAAAATTAATTCTCTCTCCTGTCCACAAATTTCAAACACACAGTTTTTACTTTATTTATTCACGTGAAATTCAACTTTGGCCAACCTTTTCGGGACGGAGGAAATATGTACTAGTAATTAATATGTCAGTTTTTTGGAAAATTTTAAAATAACTTATATTTTTGTTTTTTTATTTAATTTACTAATGTTTGTGAAAAAATGCCTTTTATGGTTGCAATAACAATTCATTCTTATTTTTTACTGTAGATCCCCTTGTTGAGGCACATGGAATCCACAGCCTGCTACTTCCTTGCAGGGAGCTTCAAGACACACAAATATGAGACCTGCAAATCCGGACGGATGTACACGGAGCTTGCTTACGTCATCTCCTTCGCGCCATACTATTGGCGGGCAGCCCAGTGCGCGAGGCGGTGGTTGGATGAAGGCGACGCGAACCACCTCGCTAACTTCGGGAAGTACCTATCGGCCATGGTGGCCGCCGGCGCGAGGCTGACGTTCGCCGGACAACCGGAATCGCAGCTATGGCTGGCTATTGTGCTGCTCACTTCAATCATAGCCACCACTTACCAGTTGTATTGGGACTTTGTCAAGGATTGGGGATTTTTCAACCTCAATTGCAAGAACACTTTGCTTAGGGATGATTTGATTCTCAAGAATAAAATCATTTACTATTTTTCAATTGTAAGTTCTTCCCCTCTATGAAATTGTTTCTCTGCTTTATCATTTTTCATCTCCAATGACTGAGTATTTTTAGCTTTGTCCAGATTGAAACAATGTGGTAATTATTGACATGCACTATAAGTGGAAAAATGAGGAGATGACACTAAAGATTGGATTGACCTAATAGGGTGTTAACTAAGTTGAGATTTTTAGGAACATTCCATAAATAGAAGCTAAAAATGTAAAATATAACACATTTCATCAAATTATACATTTTGTTATTTTTCATGAAAACAGTAGCCATATAATTCGTAGAAAATAAAGATAACTCATATTATGACTACTGTATCTAGGTAACTCATAGAATCCTAGAAAATTCTAAGAAAACAGTATCTATTTTTTAATGGTGGGAGTATTAGCTACTTTTATTTTTTAAGGACTGGTATTTTAGGATGATATAAAGATAACTCACAATTTGCTCATAGAAATCTAAGCTGGGTTATTGTTAACAACCTTAGGCCCTGAATTTTGTCTTGCGACTGGCGTGGGTGGAGACAGTGATGCGTTTCAATGTTGGAGTTTTTGAGTCACGCTTGCTCGACTTTTCTTTGGCTTCACTGGAGATTATTAGACGAGGACACTGGAACTTCTACAGGTACATATCATATATGTTTATGCCATAATAGAAGTGATGTACTCAACAAAATATAATAGTATTAGCCTCAATCTAAATAGTCCAGAAAAGACTGTAAGATCTTGTTTTGAGTAGCTTTTTTAGCTTCCTAAGTCTCTTGCAATCTATATATGTATAGTAATAGGAGCATCTTGTCTCAAATATTTGGCTCTGTTTTGTACTTGTGAACCCCAACACTAATGTGGGATACTTTAACACTTTGCGGAATTGTATGTTCATTGATTCGTCGGAGAAATACTTATGATGAGACATGGGGTATATATTTAACAGGTTGGAGAATGAACATTTGAACAATGTTGGAAAGTTTAGAGCAGTGAAGGCAGTGCCATTGCCATTTCGCGAAACAGACTCTGATTGCTGATAAAAGTATTCTCATTGTTGAATAAACTCTATTTTTATTATCCACATGTAAATACCATGAAGTTGAGTTCTGGATGTGCTAAACTGTAAAGATCATTATAACACAATCTTAGCTATTGAATTTTTAAAATCTTAGACTGTATAGTCGATGGTGATATGATTTCTGCATGATATTGGAATATACTTTTAGAACTTTCCGTCCTTTAACATTTCTGTGATCCGTTTGGAGAGGCAATATGCTGTTGCCTGGATGGTGATCATGGGGTTAACACCAACAGCACCAGGAAGTACACTGGCATCACAGACAAAGAGCCCCTCCGCTTCCCAGCTCTCTCCATTCTCATCAACTGCTCCTTCCTTAGCGTTGGTCCCCATTCTACAGCTCCCCATTTGATGGGCAGAAGAATAGATACTAAAGTCCTTCACCATTGACTTTGGGCCCTCGGCTGCTATTACTGTGTCTAAAAATGCCTCCAACTCCTCTTCACTCTTTCCTTTACACTCAACTTTCTGGCCGTTACTCAGGTGTGTCCCCACCTCAACCGCTCCTGCTGCTATTAAAATCCTCAATGTTTGGCGTATCCCAACCGTTAGATTTTCCTTATCCAACGCATCAAATGTGTAGCTTATCCTTCCTTCAGATCTCACTTCTCCGGTCCCTTTGTCTTTGACCTGTTAATATTAACTACTAATCATCAACAAAAATCATACTCCCTGTCTCCCTCCATCCTAATTTGGGTTTTACCGATGATAAAATTAATTTTTTCAAGATGATATATACTACGTATAATTTGGTGTCAATAACTTTTTGATATTTAAAAGTTACTTCAAAAGTTCTATTGAACCACAAAACTGATATTAAATACAATAATTTTTATAAAAAAAATTAGAAGCTAAAAAGTCAGGTGAGTTGTTCACATAACTAATGTATGTCGTTAAATTCAGGTAGAATTTACTTAACGCTATAAATTCAGGTAGAAAGAAACACAATGACACTCTCCTAAGTGTAGGATTTGATGTCAATGGAATGGAGTTAATATAAACCAATGATTGATGAGTAAAGAATAAAAATGTAAATATTAAAAAAAACAAGAATAATTAATTACCATTGCGAACAAATGTGCAGTTCTTGAATACTTGAGCATTGTTTCCTTTATGTCCAAACCAGACTTCCACGGGAGAAGTGTGGCAAACGACCCTGGCCCTAGGATGGGAGCTTCTATGATGGCTCGCACATTAGATTCACCATTTCCAACTTTATGCACAGACGTAATTATCCCTCCCTCGTAGTTTTTCCCCTTGACCTCTGTATTGGACTCCGGGAAGTACCCCCACGCCATTAAAACCGGGTGGAGGTGGAGATTCCGTCCTATGTTCGGGTTCGTTAATCCACTTGTGAGCATAAGGGGAGGCGTTCTAAGTGACCCACCTGCCGAGATAGTGACCTTAGCGTTGATGCACATCGTCTTTGCACTGTTCACGGTAGTTGCTATCACTCCCATACACTTCTTGTCCCGTGTTTTCCCGCTCTTTTGAAGTAAAAACCTCTGGGCTTTGCAGCCTGTTAAGATCACGGCCCCACACTTCACGGCATCAACTAGCCAATTGACATCAGTGCCCTTCTTGTCCCCCCTTCTACAACCATAACAGCAGGACCCACAATCGTGACTTGGGGAAGAGTTTCGTGGGACGGGTTCGACTTCGAGACTGAGGTTCTCACACCCTTTCCTGAGAATCTTGTTCTGGAATCCTTCGTTAGAACAACCCTCCGTTACGCCGATTCTTTCACAAACTTTATCCATGGCAGAATTGTACTCGGGGCTTGAAAAGAGTGAGATTTTGTGATTCTTGGACCATTCTTGGATTGTCAACATGGGGGTTTTAATGCAGGCTGACCAGTTAACGGCAGAGCCACCGCCCACGGTTGAACCTGCCATAACCACCACCTTTCCGTCAACGGTTGAGAGGATCCCTCCATTTTCATATAACTCGTTCAATGAGGGGCCTTCCAGAGATGAATAATCAGATTTGGTAAAATAGTTTCCTTTTTCAAGAACTAACACTTTCTGGCCTGAGCCTGCAAGAATGGCTGCAGCCACTGCCCCACCACAGCCCGAGCCAACGATTACAACATCACACTCGATATTTATGTGATTCTGTATGGGATCTTTTGTCACTTTTAGTCCTTTTTGGAGAAGAGAATTGACCAAAGTTGATTCGTTTTCGTTTTCAGTTTCCACTATCCCCATCTGAAGAGGTCTTTCTTCCTCTGATTTCTTCTGAGACAAGTTCTCAGCATAGTTATCCACTTGGTATCCCATGGCTTCCCATGCTGGATTCTTTGAGTCTTCACCCACCTATGATAAAAAATAAAAGACAATTGTGGGATTTATGTATTCATCTAGCTACCAAGTTAAAATTCTGGCTTATTCTTAGAAGAATAAGTACTTTGTAACATATTTGGTTAATAGATGGATGACACTAAATATTTTCTTCTTTCATAAATTATTTAGATTCATCCAACCCTCAAATGACTCCTATTTGGCCTTACGGGTTCATTCGCTTAAAAGGTGTAGCTAAAAACAGCAATATGGGCATTAATTTCATTGGGAGTGTTTGGCAGAACATATTACCGATGCTCATACTTATTTTGACAAACGACATCTATCTATAACTTTCCTTTTTTGCCTACCTAATAATAACACGCTTTCCATTAAAGGAAGGGAAAAGATTATTGGCTAAGATGGGAAGCCTTGTGGCTACTAACAATAAATGTCAATTTATTGTTAAAGATGAATACTTTTGATCCCAAAATACGTGTTTCATTTTTCTTTTCATGTGATTTCAATGTCACTACATATTTTTTGAAATGGACCTTACAAAAAGCTTCTACAATACACTTATGCACCTTTGTGTGTGCGGTATTACACTAGTATCTAAAAACTCTATTTTTTCTTAGCGCTATTAAAACTCTACTAGGATGAGTTTCTTGAAACGGTTGGAGTATACTGTAATGGCAACCAAACTCACTATTAAACATATTTGAACAGGTTAGCAGTTTGGGTGTGTTTTGAGAAGACAATATATAATATGGCAAATCTTCTAGAACTTGATGTTGTTACTGTGAAATAATGGGAAAGAGGTACTCCAATAGGAGTCCTGACACATATATTTATAATAGAAGAGTTGCCAAAATACAAAGTATTCCTAAATAGATATTAGGCAGATTCCTAAATATCTATTAGGTAGATTCCTAATTATATTAGTCTATTACACCCCCTCAAACTGTGTGTGAGATACAACGCGCAGGTTGTCTTTTAAAAAAAATGAAATTGCAAACTAAAAAAAACTCTTAGCAAATATATCCGTGAGCGGAAGATTAGAAGGCACATCTTTGACAATAAGATCTCCATGAGAATATATGTCTGCAGCAGCCAGCGGCGAACTCAACAGCGCGCTTGAAGCAAGCACCGTGGTCGGCGACGCAAAGAAGGTGGGCTGCGCGGACATAGGCAGCAGCAGGCGGCGAACTCAACGGCACGCTGGAAGCAAGCACCGTGGTCAGCGACGCGGAGAAGGTGGTCTGCGCTATATTAGCCGCGCTCATCTTCAAAGGATCGAAGACTACCGTAAATGTGGCGGCATTCGACCCTGAGGCGGCGGCGGCTATAATAAGAAGGTTCATGGGAACCGGAAAAAAAAAAGAGAAAAAAAAAATGTGTCTAAAAACCTAAGCTCTTGATACCATGTGAAATAATGGGAAAGAGGTACTCCAATAGGAGTCCTGACACATATATTTATAATAGAAGAGTTGCCAAAATACAAAGTATTCCTAAATAGATATTAGGCAGATTCCTAAATATCTATTAGGTAGATTCCTAATTATATTAGTCTATTAGTTACGATATACTTCGTACTGTAGTATATAATATGCATTGCAAAATATATTAAAACAAAAATTAAAAATCCCAACTACAATTATAGAACGAACATTGATTCTAACTTTCTAAGGACCCTACTTTCCAAGTATCCAAGGCTCCTTTGGTAACGATTAGCATTTAAGATTTTATTCTAAAAGATCAACATGATAGAAGTAATAAGAGATCTTTATAGTTTATGTAGTACTACTTCTGTCCCATTAACATTGAGACACGAGGAGACGACATGAGACAATCTTAATAAGAGATCTTTATTAAGAAAAGTGGATTTATGTGTTTTAGAACCAAACGAATTTTTCCAAATTTGGACATGAGGAGGCGACATGAGACAATCTTATTAGAATGGTGCGAATAGAAAATATGGGAAAATCATAGCTGGACGGAGGGAATAGTCTATTAATCCATCATTTGCTAGTGTGAAATACTTCAACGCCCCCTTTCACGACCGGTCAAAGACACTTTATCTTTGACTTTGTCTAGATCATGTCACATATTATACTTTTCATTAGATCGTCATAATCATTGTTAGTTTTTCATATTCATTGTCAATTTCTATATGGGCCCACACATTGGTTATAAACTGGTTTTACTTTAATACCATACTAAGACTTAAATTTTCATCCTAAAAGGTGACCTCATAAAAGGAGTGATCCGAAATCTTATTGTAGTTGTTTATTGATTTATCTCTTAGTGATATATGAGACACTCTAATAATATCCATAACCAACTTATAAATCGAGAATCAGTAATTTTTATTTTCTTATTTTGTTGAAAAGGATTTTCCTAAAAGTTTTTAAAAAAATACATCCGATTAATTCATTTAGCCCAATAACAATTACCAACAATCCAAAAAAAGATGGAACCACGCACTCTTGGTGTTCACAGACCCCGACTCAATAGAATGATGAAGAAGTAAATATATGATTTCAAACAATTTTTTGAATAGTCCAATAACTTGGTCATTGTGTTTAGCTTGGAGATGGGGATTCAATCTTTGGAACAATGAAATAGCCCAATTAACATTTACCAAAAAAAAGGATGACACCCCATCCCTGAGGCCCCCCAACACCGACCGGACGGCACGATGAGAGGATGTAAATTGGACTATAATCACAATCTGACAGATAGAGAGTGGGTCTTTGTCCCCGGCACTTGCAGAGGCCCTATGCATTTTTCAGCATAGTAACCCCTCATCGCAGTTGCCGGGATTCGAACCCGCGACTTAACCCTTGTGACACTCCATTGCTACCAGTTGAGCTACGCCCACCGGTTACCCAATTAACATTTACCAAACAGTTGTGTAAGGAACCGGTGGACGTAGCTCAACTGGTAGCGAGGGAGTGCCACAAGGGTTAGGTCTCGGGTTCAAATCCCGGCAACTACGATGAGGGGTTACTATGCTGAAAAATGCATAGGGCCTCTGTAAGTACCGGGGACAGAGCCCCACTCTCTATCTGTCAGATTGTGATTATAGTCCAATTTACATCCTCCCATCGTGCCGTCCGGTCGGTGTTGGGGGCCCTCAGGGATGGGGTGTCATCTTTTTTTTCAAACAGTTGTGTAAGGTGCAAGAGAAATACCCGGGTGAAGAAGACATAAAGACACAAGAATTTGAGGAACACAAAAGCCAATCTGACAGGGGTAAAAAAGCTGCTTTTCAGCCATCCCTGAATCACTGACACTCTCTTCTCCAGAGGAATGTGAGAGAATTTGTTAATGAAAGGCCATTTGCTATCAACACAGAGGAACCCACAAATCAGAAAGGTCCCTAATCTGGTTGAAAGAAACATCAACAACCCTCTCAACAAAATCACAGCTTCCAAGAACCCCCTTTTCATAGCCATCTCTGCCACCTTCAATTCACACACCAATTACTGATCATTTCCCAGAACAGAGAATCAAAAAATTCAAATCCAAATCCAAAATCAAGAAAATATTTAAAAGAAATGAAAATAAAAAAAAGTGTTCTAACCTCATCTGGAATAGGGTACTGAGCGCCTGAAGCTTTAGAGAATTCATCAATGGCGGATTGGGCTCCATCAAGATCACTCCTTTCTGGAATTTTAAGAGAATTCAAAGGCAGAGGAGGCAAAAGGGTTTCACAAACACTGCTTAGAGCCTCCATTTCTGACGAGGAAAGCCCATGACTGTACTTTGTTTCTCTTCTCCCTCCTCTCAGTAAAGGATGACAGTTTCTATCCATTTTCGTCTCAACAGTTTTGATTCCCTCTGTTTTGCTGATTTTGTATTAAAACGTGTTGACAATATATATTGATATTTCGTTGTTCCTACTTGCATGTAGGAAGCAGGAAATGTATCAAATTATTTGTTGTTAATATTGCCGTAATACAATTATTATAGTCTTACGAATGTAGTGCATGTTACGTAGCTCGT